TCCCTTGGGAGGTATTTGTTTCTTCCTTCTCTTATACTCCGCACATTAAATCATTCATCTAGTGGCTCTAACTTACTGTCTAACTACTTCCCTGTGTGAACACCATACTGCACCCCAGGGCACTACCCTTGTTCAAGCCAACCACCATTAATCATTGTTTCCACTCAAGGAATTTAAGTTGCATGTTTCAGATATAAAAATAACATCTTTTAAATTATATCTCCATAGTGTTATGATGTTTTGCACATAAGTCTTTTTACACATCACTTTTGCATAAGATTTCTGGGACTTCTGCTAGCTGATCAGGTTAGCAACTGAATATTCATATAATGACCCAGCTTCCTCAATGCTACAGCATATTTTCCTTATTACTGTTATAGCTCGTGGCTGCTATGTACTTACCATGTGCTAGGCAGTGTACAAAGAGCTTCACAATACTTAACTCATTTATTCCATGCTAGATCTCTACTGGAATCCTGGCTATTTGCTCAGATGGAAGTTGGTATTTGAGAATAACAAACACCGTTGGTATTAGTGAGCACTGATGCAGGTATTTTTGAGGCAATCTGCCAGCCTCTGATCAAGTAACTCCATATCTAGGAATCAATGCTAAAGAGATGCTTGCAAATACATCAAAGATGCGTGAACAAAATATGTGCACTGCACAACTGCTTGTAATGCTGAAAACCCTAAAACATCCATCAATGGTGAAGTGGAAAAATACGTTACTGTTCATGCACTCATTTGAATACTTATGTAATACAAGAAGAATGGTGACTATGTATGAAAGGTATTCACTGAAAGCATGCACATATAATGACTGAATGAAATATTTACAATTATCTTTAAGAGACAAAAGCTAGTTGCTAAGCAATTGATTTTTAAAAACATACTGTTGTGATTATACACTACATGTATATATTTAAAAAAACGGCTAGCAGCATATACAGTCCAGAGTGGTTACTTAGACCAGGGGTCTAAAAGCCTTTCACTTTTTTACTTTATACACTTTATTTACTATAACAAGCCTGCATTATTTTAGTAATTTCAGGGAAAACAAATAGTTAAAAGACGAACCCTCCCCACTGCTTATTAATATTACAAAAGAATATACTGAATTTAAGAGATTTAATTATAAAAGAAAATTCTGGACAGTAGCTCTAATATTACACAGCCTTTTGGCAATTAACCATTAGCAAAAGGAAAGAGAAACCCAAATCCAAATATGTTTACAAAATGATTTCATACATTTACGCTAAGGGAAAAGCCTTTTCTTTTTGGTTCCTTGGGTGGTATCCTTCCATCTGAGAAACTGGTGCAGGAACCAAGGAATATTTCCTAAATCTCTCTCCCAAAGTAGGTTTCTGCTAATTCTAAAAACAGAGTTGATTATGAAGATGTCAGCTGAGTTCAGAGTAACAGGAAAAATCTCCCCACTGGACCCAAGGAATGAAAAAAAATGTAACACAAGAGATTATTTTTTACTGAAACAATAACTGAGGCCACAGGATTAATAACGTGTGGCTAGACAGTAAACAAAGGCAACCAATTCTCAATCAGGGTTAGGACACAAAAGGCTACTAAATATAATTTGAAATCCAGAATCCATTTTTTTCATAGAAACTTGGTATTTAGCCTCCTAAGCCTACCTATTTATGCCAATTTAATCTATCCTATTATAAAACATACTCCAAACAGTATGGTTTCAACAAGATCAAAACCAACGGAAATTACCAAGTTACTTGTAAATTTTAAAGCTTCTATGTAGGCAGAGAGTGGATCTAATGTACTATCAAAAAGCCACCTACCTAAGTCAACCAGAAGTGTGTGGAGGAGAGGGCAGAGGGAGTGCCAAGCAATAATTTTTATCTACCTGTTGAAGCATCTAGGACCTGTTCTTACATACTAGTCATTCATTTGTAGCTGGTCTACTTCCTCTGCTGGAATAAGTATACGTAATGTTTAAAGGGTTTATAAACTTCCTTTCTTTGTAAAATTAGTTCTGAGACACTACACAACGAATTTGTTTATTCAAACGTATAGGGAACAAACATTCTGATGTCCTTTGGTAGGATTCACTGTGCTATGGCAGGCTTAAATATAGCAAATTTCTTTCCAAAAGCAACAGAAACTTGACACGTTATCTTTCAAATAATCTCAATCTCCAAGCTAAAAATGGCAGAACACTGCTCTGAACACTATTGGAAGTTTCTGATTACATAAAGCTGAGAAAATGGGAAGGATGTCTCATTCACACAAATCTTCTCTAAAAAAAGGATAGTGAAAACATTGATCAAAATAATTGGAAAACTGATGAAAACAGGATTTGCTAAAAATTCATAGATTTCTGATTTCACAATTCATTACAATTTTTTCAGATCCATGAACTCATCTGATTTTCACATCAACTCTATGAGGAAGGCACATAAATTATTATTACTCCCAATTTACTAATAAGAAAAGAGACTTAAGTACTATGCTCAAGAACACAGGGCAACTACGAAGTGGGAGAAAGCTCTCCTGTAGTTTAGGAATAGTATGCTGTATTTGAAAGAGAGCAAGATGTTCAAAAAAGGAAACAGACTCAAGAGCTCCTCTTAAGTTTTGCTGTAAGAGTAGGGAAATGTGGCAGTAGCCAAATGTGGAGATGAGGGAGGGTTTTATTAAGATGGGGAAAATGTATGGATACTCTAGATGGGAAAAATCAATGATGCAGAAAAGGAGCGCTGATGGAGTGATATCCTTCATAAATGACAGAGTATAGGACCCTGCGGAAAGGTGGAGAAACTGGCTTTAGATTGTACCATCCACAAGACATAGCTATCTCACAATAAAAAGAGGCTGGCAGGTAGGTAGCTCTGGTGGGACTCTGTAAAAGGTCTGCCCCAACTGTTTCTATATTCTCAATAAAATCTAAAATGTAGAGTCATCAGCTGAAAACAAAAAGAGGCGATGCTATGAAATCTGCCTATGACAGCTGGAAGAGTGAATGGACTAGTGAAATGTATGACTGTCAGGCAGTATGAAGGGCCTGATTATGATCACTGTTCACAAGTTTAAGTGAGACAAGTCAAGGCAGCTATGTGTTCACCTTTTAGCTGCACAGGTGCAAGCACAAAGAGCTGAATTTAATCATATTTGGGATTTTCCAAGAACAATGTTGTGAGAGTGGAACCATGCTGCCAAGCACTGCCACAGCTCCAAGCATGCTATGTATATTATCTCAAACTCATACAACCTTCAGAACAATCCTGTAAGGCTAGTACTTCCAGTGGCAGTACCCTAATTTTACAGATAAGGAAATAGATACAAAACTAGGTAACTCACCCAAGGTCACATCACACAGCAAATGCTACAGCCAGGGTTGAAACTTAGGCAGTCTGGCTCAAGAGATATGCTATACTGACCCTTGCAAAGGAGTGATTATAATCACTGACTATTTTAACTGGGCAAAAGTAGAAGCAATAACAAGAGAGGAGGGTCAGTGAAAAGAAGTATGGATGAAATGGATTATAAATCTCATTAGAAATGGTATTAGAGAGAAGTTAAAGTGGGATACTAAAAACAGATTACTGTGGATAGAGAGGAAGAGCTACAGTGAATGGTACTGATAAGAGCTAGCTACTAGTCATGCGTCTGAATAATTGAAGGACAGCAGAAGGAAAAATCACTGAGTAAGAGATCAAGTAATAGAATGGTCACGGTATAGGCAAGAGCATCATTCAGACTTGGAAACCATCAAGGCCATTGACTCTGCGACCCCAGGCAAGTTACTAATCATGCTGGTCTGCATTTCTTCTTTTTAAAACATACACTATTCCCTATTTTTTCACAATTCTGGTGTGTGTCTTCTTAACAATGTCCACCACATGCTGCGTTGCTCAGAATTATTGCGATTATTCTCAAAATGTTTTTAACCCACAGCTAAAGGCGCTACATCAGGAAAAACGACATCAAGGATAATTAACAATATACGGACACAGCTACTTATCTCTACTTTCTCATTTCCATTTATTCCTCAGTCCACTCAGATCTAACTTCCAGCCCCACCACTCGATGGAGACTACTCATGAGGGTCACTAAAGACCTCCAAGTTGTCAAAACCAAATCATGTCTCTTCATTTCTCAAGCAGTAGACACATTTAATCCTTTCCTCTGCTTCAAAAGATATTTTCTTCTCTTGGATACTTCGCACCTCAAAGGCTGCTCCTTGATTGACTTACTCACTCTCCACACGTTAGATCTCCCAGGTTTCAGCCCTAAGCCTGATTCCATTATAGTCTCACCGAGTTTCATTTAGGCATCAGCGCTCAATTTTCTCAAGGAATGAACACTGAAAAAGACTGTGAGACGATCTCATCCAGTCCCATGGATTGAGGTCAAATATATAGGCTGCCTATTGTCTTATCTCTAACTCCAGCCCAAATTTCCCTCTGGAACCTAAATTCATAAAGAATCTCCTTGTCATCTCCGTGTCAGTGTTTCATAGGCATCTTAAGTCCTGAGTTCCCACCCCAGCCGCCGAACCTGCTCCTCTCCCATCCCTCCACATCTCAGGAAAGAACACAAGCACTCACACAAGTTATACAATCAAAATCTATGTTTAACCTTTGGTTTCTCAATTTTCCCCACACCAACCCATCAAAAAATTCTCTCAACCCTCCCCTCCCAACATATCTCAAATCCTTCCACCTCTTTGTATCCCTATCCCTATCTTCCTGCTCAAAGCGTCATTCCTTAAAAACTACCGCACTAACTGTGGTCTCCATGCTTTCACGCTTGCTCATCCTGCTATCTGTTCTCCAAACTGCAGTCCAAGTAACCTTTTCAAATCATGAAAGAAATCATTTTTTCTCCTCCGCTTAAAAGTCCCCAAAGGCTTCCTATTACACCTTGAAAACCCTCCACTTATCACAAAGCCCTCCAAGTTCTGGCCCCTTGCCTAACTCTCTATTCTCTTACCTCTCTTCCCCCTCACCTACTAGATCAGCAATACAGACCTTTTTTGATTCCCAAAACACAGTCTTAAAGGTCTTTCCCTACAGAAAATCTCTCCCCATCTCTGAGTGCTTATCATTATTCAGATCTCAGTTTAAATGTCACCTTATTTAGAAAGGCCTTCTGTGACTAGTTACTTTAAAAGTAGCCACCCAGTCATGCACTATCACATTACCTCACCCTATTTCAATTCTCTACGTAAGTCACCATTATCTGGCTTTTAAAATTTGTTTTTTGATTTCTTTCACTACTATGTATGCACCACTGACAGCAAGACCTATTATTTTTTACTAAGTATTCAACAAATATGAAATAAATGAATCAACATGCAAACACTGAGGGATCACTGACCTGACAGTTCACCAAAACAATGTATTTAATTCATTCAAAAGATCTTTATTAAATACCGATCGCGTGCAACGTACAGAAACAGCAGAAATCTGCCAGAAATCATACCAGATTTCTTACGTAATTCCTGTATTTTGTTTTACCAGTATGCCAAGAAACCTTAATTTGACCTCTGTGGTAGTGTTTTAATACATTTACTACTTAATGTTTTAATAATCTAGGAAACTTCCATAGTAGGGAACTATCTCCAGCACAACTATATTAAAATACAATAAACCTCAATAGGAACAACTTGCTAGTAAATGATGGCTAGCAAATACAATGCACTCAAGCAGTATTCTATAGCATAATCACCATTATACAAATAAACCACAAAGGGAGGTAGTTCTTTGCAGATTACTATATAGCACACTAAATATACCATCTATAGTAACTGCAACTATCGCATCTTTACAACTCTTACCAAAAACTTCCAATGTGTACACAATTTCGATGTCACTTATAATTACATTTCAGTTTGTGCATTTAAAGTCTCATCGCAAACTTACTGTTAGGTTTTTCCCCACTTCCTTTATAGGAGGAGATATATTACTACTGTAATAAAAGACTGTTTTGTAATGATTAACACCAAAGGCAGTGCATGGTAATGGTCAAGTAAGGGGTACAGAACAACCAATCAATGTTAAAAATGTTTCACTCATTAAGAAAACAGGTGGGGAGGAAGACTTTCAAGTCTCAAAAACTCAAGCAAATACAAATACCTTAAAAAAACAAATGCTCTTGCTTCTTCCACTCTGTACATCTCCTACTCTATAGCCACTGACCAAGCTAATACTGTCAATAAGGCTCCCAAGGAGATCCAGACACATCCCCCACGGCCCTATACTCCTCCCATCCTGCCAATCAGAGCTCACTGAACATTTACTTGTTCAGCAAATGAATCACTCCCATGATCCTTCTCTCTCAGTCCTCTCTTTCACTTATTTTAGCTCCTGCTCATCTCAAGCTCACAAGTGTTTCTGTATCGGCCATTTCAAATCACTTAAGTTTCCTTAGTTCTTTCTACGTAAAAATAAAACTTTTGAGCTGGCAAAATAGAGGTTTTAAAGACTAAAATCTGTTCATTTTATGTGGATCTCCCTACAAGTCTCACTAAAGTCCTTATTTTTCCCTTTTATTTTAGTTCTATTTTTAATACCCTTGGTCATCTAGTTTTCACAAATTATAAACAGGACACTTACAGTCTCCCTTTATTTGTATGATTTTCATTGCTTCTTATTGGAATTCTACTCTCAAATACTATACCAAAAATATTAACTTAGAAATTATTATGAGGATGGAATTAAAATAGTTGTTTTTCCCATTTCTGAAATTTAGGTCCAGTAAAATAAAAACCTACAAGTCATTTTAATGTAAATGTCGTACATCTCAATGAAATGCTTTCAATTCTTACCCCATACTAACAATGCTAGTTTTTATATTTATATAAACAGCAACAAAATTATATTCAGACAAATAGCAACAAAAAGCTGAAGAACTCTGTAACAACCAAGCTTTCTGAAAATATACTTCTAAAACTTTACAATTCATGTAACTTAGTAAATCCCCTTGGAAATAAACTGGAAAACAGCAAATACAGTTAATCGGTACAATACTGGCTGTAAGACAGCAAATGCATAAAATGTCTAAAGAGCTATACAAATCTTATAGAACATAAATATTTCAGTGGAGCTGTAGAAAGTTAGTACATAACTTCAGTAAACCCACAGATGCTCACAAACAAAAAAATCCTTTAGGTTTCAATGATTCTGGGATTGTTAATATAAGCTGGTAAAGTTTCTGCCGCATCAATATTTATCACTATAAAAAAATCAAAGTCAAACAGACATTTTATGAAAATTTTTCTCTGAAAACATTAAACAGCTACATTTTAACTTTCCCCCTTTAACTTACAAGCATACACTAAGCAGTAAAGGAATATTCAGGAAGAATTTGATTTCTGTTAATAATAACAATTCACAGGGTGTTGTCAGTTACTTCTGAGGACACTGAATTCCTCATCTATAATTATCTTCTGCACGTTTACAAACTTACCACACAGCATACTTATACATATAAGTAAATATCTTGAACTAAAATCATTTTGTGCAACAATTCCAAAAAGGTTGGAACAATGCTTTTTAAATAATTAAAAATGTAGAAAACTTTAGGTTTAAATGATACAGGTAAAATACTGTATCTTCACTCAAAGGTATCCATTGATTAATAATCAATTCCATTTATTGACCACCAATTAAATACTACTTAATCTTAACAGCAAATAAATTAGAGCCACTAATGGGGGTTCAGGTTTATTTAATTAACACCAATGACCCGCCTCCATCTCTACCAAAAATAAACTATTTTTTTCAAAAATACAGATGGGCAGAAAGTTGTTGCTTTAAACAAAGCATTATGACAACCTTAACGGTGTACAGAATCACAATTCCAGAACATAGGCAGTAAGTTTACACTGAACGCATTTTTAGATCTTGGCTTAAAGTTGTACTGATTTCAACATAGTGGCTTTTTGCAGGCACGAACACAGAAGACGACATGAGGATTATTAACATGTGAACTTTCGAGGTGGTTCAAGAGTTTAGAGAAGAGAGTCAAAGTTTTTATTTTCTTTTTTCTCTCCTGAAATGCAATTATTTGGGGGGTGGGAGGAGGGTGCAGGGTTTCAACTCCTACAATTTCAAGAGTTCCAAGACAGAGGCCCCATCAGTCTGGAGTTGAATTTGAGCCTGGATTTGAAGGGTTGTAATCCAACAATCTTCACCACCGAAGAGGCCTCAAAGTGCAATCTAGATATGGGTGTGGGTTCGGTGGCGGGAGAATTGCAGCGAAACGATTCAAGATATATGCAAATAGAAGGGTTACCAATTCTGCGGGGAAGGGAGCAAAGAACGCATTTTCACCACCCTTCACCACTCACCTCTTGCTCTGCGGCAGACGGAACCTGATATCTTTTTTTTTAAGGCTCATTATCTCGGATTACCACCTCCTAGACCTTAGCGCCGGACCAGATCCACGCAGGAGTCGTGGCGACGCCTACATCTCCCTCCCCCACCTGTGCACCCACACCAGAGAGCCCGGCTCCACCGCCCAGGCGGCCCTGACCTCCCCTCCCCCTTTGGCCCCACTGCCGAGAGCGTCCAGGCCGAGGTCTCCTGTACCCGCGGGCGTGTGCTCCACGCCATCTGCCACCAAGTCTTCGGCGTCCGGCCACCGCTTCCCCTCACCC